ACACTACGACACACACACACTACACACACACACACACACACACACACACACACACAGACACACCACACACACACACACACACACACACACACACACACACACACACACACACACAGCGCGCGCAGGCACACGCGCAAGCACGCGCGCAGGCACACACGCAAGCACACCGGCACACACAGGCACGCACGCACGCACGCACGCACACCGGTACACACAGGCATGCACGCACGCACGCGCGCAGGCACACACGCAAGCACGCGCACAGGCACACACGTATATACGCACGGGCGGCGGCGCGCGCTTGATTGAATGCAATACAGTACAGTACACACATGCATGCTTAAATGGTAAACACTTGACAGTCACACCGTACCATGAATTCTACCGCGCCGTGGAACCGGCTGCCGCTAGTGGCAGAGGCCTAGGCATCGCAGCGCAGCAACGCCGAGCGAGAGCGGCAAGGCGCGGGACCGACCTGGACAATCGATTTCCAGGGCGACTTTTTCTTTTGGGTTGCCCCCGATATCATGTTTTCGGGGCTCTTTTTGGCATTTCGGCGGCGAAATCGCCCGCTGCCCCCGTGTATTTTTTCCCCTGCGTCATTCATTCCATTTGTCAATCATTAACGGAAGCACGCGAGGTTTCCCGAAGTTATCTCAAGGCGAGAGACAGTCGCAGTCAGCAGGTATCTCGAGTCGGTTTTAGGCGAAAATACCCGATTTTCATCGCTCATTATCTCAGCGTAGGGGCATCGTAGGCACATGCGGTTTGTTTTATATTAACAAGGCAGGACAGCTGATCAAAGAATCGTCAAAATAAAACGGGGAAAGTTTATTAATTCGACTAATACTGCAACATGGTTTCAGCATTTCACCGTTGTACACTCCTTCTTTATACGCTCTTGTATATATATATATAAATAAATTGCATGTGTACATTTTCTCACTTGTTCTTGGATTGATTTTATTTGGGGTTGTTTCAGCGTGGCTCAGGGGTAGGAGAGAGCCCCCTTCCGATGAGGTAAAGTGTTAGGGTAAAGTCTTTTTTTAGCATTTAACCAAGTTATATATATAATTTCTCCAACGGCATACGACTTATAATGTTATGGCTAGGACAGGAAAAGTGATCTTGTTATTAACAAAACCTTCACTACTCGGCTTTCAACCCAATAAATTTATAGTCCATAAGAATGTACCCTGATATGAATAAACTATTTCTAGGCAAATGTGTAATAATGAAAATTAGCTAATTTTTTCTTGTTTTTCAGGAGTTGACATACAGTGATGCAATCCAGCAGTCAATAACACAGAGAGCTAGTGTCCTGGAGCAGAAAGCACGAGAGGTAAAGTACATTAATGGACCTATCTCGATCTCGAGTTATCCACAGAGGTTG